CAAACTCCCGGGCTTGTGATAGTGTTTTCAGCTCTGTTAAATAACATGTTGTTACTGCTTCACAAAGATCAGGTGTGCTTCAAACTGAAACTCTACTGCATAGAGTTACTAGTTTTTCTAGTTTAAACTTCCACTGAAAAGCGTTTCCTTCACTTAAAACAACACACATCACTTGAGGCAGCTTTGTTTCTCATGAATACATTGAAGGACAGAGGACAGAGCTTTTTGTGTTCTACTTTCTTGAGTTCCTCTCAATAAGCAGCTCACTTTGTGTTCTCAGTCCTTCTGTATCTAATATCTGCACATAACTCCTGAAGATTGACAGTTTTGCCTTGCTGTTTTAAATCCCAGGACCAGAAGCTTAGCTCTGAGATCCAGAAGGAGATCATGTCTATCTTAAAGGTCAAATCAGATTTAACACAAGTCTGATATTTAAGTTTGTTCTCCATAGAAGACAGAGGATAGAAAGGATTTATTTGAACTTTGAATCATATAGGGTTATTCCCGCAGACCTCGAATAAAAATATGTTTTTAACATTTAAATGTCACAGTATATCTGAGTGAAAAATAAGTCAAGTTTTGTTTCTTTAGCATGTATATAACAACCTCAGTTGAGCAAAGATATCCTGCTTAACTAGAGCTGGCAGCCAGTAAGCAGATTTTTAGAGCCCAGATCTAAAAATGTGTAAGAGCAGTTGGTTCATAGACCCCTTGGCCTGAGGAACAGAATATGACAGGTAGTTACTTACTAGAGCAAGTACTACGGTACTGCATGACTTTTTTAAGAAAAGCAAGAAGTTCTGTGTAATAGAGTAATAATTTTCTTGAACAACAACCCCAACAGTGCACATCACTATGTGAACTTTACTCTGACTCAGTCTGAGCAGTTAGACAACATTTTTTTGGAGTGAACACATAGGTGTGGCTCACAGACACACAGAGTTAAATCCAGTCTGATGCAAGACTCAAAGATCAGTTTGTACACAGACAGTAAAAAACTGCATTTACAGTCTGTCAAAAAAAGTGAGCACATCCCTCATATGTTTGTGAATATTTTGCTATATCTTTTCATGGGACAACATTGAAGATATGATACTTTAATACAATGTAAAGTAGCCAATGTACAGCTTGTATAATGGTGTAAATTTGTTGTCCCCTCAAAATAACTCAACATACCATAGCCATTAATGTTTAAACTGTTGGCAAAAAAAGTGAGTACACTCGTGTGATTTCAGGATTCATGTATGGCATGTGTCAGCTCCATGGCAGTAAACACAGGACTAATCTGTTAATGATTTGAATCCAGAGTGATTTTGCTGCCTCCGTCAGTCTGTGGAGAAGGCGGAGAGGAGCTGCTGCTCTCACTGACACACTAACTGCAGTTTGAGCTCGGTCGCTGTTCCACAGTAACTGCTGTTAGGTGGACACATCGTTTTGACCATAACCAGTTATAATGTGAACAGCGGTTGGAGGTCGGGGGTCTTTATAATTACAGTGCAAGTGGATGTTTAGATGCAGTATGGAACTGAATTAAATCTGTTGGCTTCTGTCTGTTTGAAAATCCTTTGTTACAAATAGTTCAATAGAAGCTTCAATAGAAAGTAATTATAATAATAATGGATTGGATTTATATAGCGCTTTTCAAGGCACCCAAAGCACTTTACAATGCCACTATTCATTCACTCTCACATTCACATACTGGTGGACAAAAGACAAAGGTTTTTGGATTTGATATTCAGACTGACTTAATTAGATGAAATAAAATTATTAAATATTAAATTCCTGAAAACATTAACAGATAATTAGATATTAGTTATCAGGTATGTCAACAGGCAAAATGAGATGTTGAGACTGAAGAAACATGTTAGAAATAAAACACTGATGAATGTAGTATTTTCAAAATCTTAGCATCTTTAACTCTGCCACCTCTGGCTTTCAGGGGAGGGGAGGAAGTACTGGAGAAAGAGCTCCAACTCTTAAACTCTTACTCTTCCCCTCCAATTGAAGTTAAAGCTACACATTAAGAAAACAACAACAACAACAACAACAACAACAACAACAAAACTCCTCTTGTTGTGAAAATCTGCCTCCACCTGTCTCCTTTCGTTTTCTGTCCACATTAACACACTTACAGAGACAGAGTCACTTATTTTTCTTATTTACAGTGAATCAGTGTGTGTCAGTGAATGCTTCGTGTGTGCTTTATGTCTCCATCTAGTGGACTGATAGTAGAAGTAGAGCAGCTGATGGCTTTCTCTGCCTCACACTGCTGTCTGACTGCATTTAGCTGACACTGAGATGAAGCAGAAAAGAAACACC